GAGCTTCCAGGAGAAACCAGCCAGCATCGTTACTTTCCTTACCTATCCATAAGTTGTCTAAAGTAAATTCCTGTTCTCATCAAATGTTTCTAGCCATGGGCTTTCAAAGTTCTTCATGCTACCAGGGAAGGTTTCAGTAACTATAGGTGTCAGTGAATTGCAAAGCCTATTCCAGATACTTAGAAATTTCATTCTTATGTCAGGCAGTGGTGGCGCACACCTTTAATCCCAGCATTCCAGAGGCAGAGGTAGGTGGATCCCTGAGTTCGAGGCCAGTCTGGTCTACAAAGCTAATTCCAGGACAGCCAGAGCTACACAAACCCTATCTCGAAAAACAAACAAACAAACCAAACCAAACCAAACCAAAACAACAACAGCAAAAACCCAAACCAAAAATTCATCCTTATAATTCTGTTTCTCTAGAACCACTCCTGGTACAACAATCTGTATTAGTTAAGGTCCTTTAGAGGTACAGCACCAAAGAAGTGTGTGTGTACATGTGTATGGACTTATTAGACTACCTTACAGGCTGTGGCTCCACTAGTCCAACAATGGCTGTCACCTGACAGAAAGTTCTTGAACACAATAGTTGTTCAGTACACAAGACTGGATGTCTCAGCTAGTCTTCAGTCTATGTTGGAATCCCAAAGAAGTAGGTTCTAATAGCAGTGAAGGAATGCCTCACTAGTGAGAGTAAGGGCAAGCCAACAAAAAGCAAAGCCTTCCTTCTTCCGTGTCCTTTTATGTGTGCTATCACCAGAAGATTCTGTCCAGATTCCCACCTCAAGTGATTCAATCAAGAAAAATCCCTCACAGGAGTGCCCAGCTGCTTGGGTTTTAGTTGATTCCAGATACAGTCAAGTTGACAACCAATATCAGCCATCATACTGGTCTAGAACTCAGCATGTAGCCCTGGCATTAACCTCTGTGTCTACTTGTATTATATCTTCAATGTGGGTATTTACAGGCATGTGCCCACCATGCCTTGCTCAAAATTGGGTACCTTGCTATGGATTTATTTTCATTTATTATGTTGAGCTCTGTGTGGGAAATTTTGTCTTTTCTGATCTGGAAAATTGTTTGAATGATTAAACTGATTAATAGTCTGTCCTTCATGTTCAATTGCTTGCTTGCTCGCTTTCTCTCTCGCTCTCTCTCTCTCTCTCTCTCTCTCTCTCCTCTCTCTCTCTCTCTCCTCCGCTCTCCCTCTCTCCCCCCCCCCCCCCCCTCTCTCTCTCTCTCTGTGTGTGTGTGTGTGTGTGTGTAGTGTGTGTGTGTGTGTGTGTGTGTGTGTTTGTCTGTCTGTCGGCAGAAGTTTCTGTGTCCCTCCAGCAACTCCCAAATACCCAGCAGCACCGCTTCCCAAATAATTGACTTGGAGGCTTAATATTACTTATAAATGCTCCGCCAGTAGCTCAGGCTTATTTACTAACTAGCTCTTACACTTAAATTAACCCATAATTCTTATCTATGTTTAGTCACTTGGTTTGATACCTTTTCTCAATACGGCATTCTCATCTTGCTTCCTCTGTATCTGGCTGGCGACTCCTGACTCCACCCTTCTCCTTCCCACCATTCTCAGTTTGGCTTTCCTGCCTAACTTCCTGACCAACTACTGGCCAATCAGTGTTTTATTAAACCAATTCAAATGACCAGTGTCTACAGTGTACAAGAAGATTATTCCACCGCATCTGTCTGTCTATCCCCCCACCACTTCATGTAGAACAGGCTGGTCTTGAACTCTCTATGTAGCTGAGGATGACCTTGAAGTTCTGAATCTCCTGCTGTTGCTTCTCAAGTGCTATGATTACAGGTGTGCATCACCACATTCCGATTTTTAAAAGGTGGGTAGTTCAAGAGTGTTAAGCACATTCATTTTGTTGTGCAACAGATCTCCAGAACTCTTTGGACACTGAAAACTCCATACACATTAAACAGCAGTGCCTCATTTCTGTCTCCTGCCATCCCTGTGCAACCACCATCTCCCGTTCCTCTAACTTACCTCATGTCAATAAATGGAATTCTAAACAGTGATTGTTTTTTCCAGTGATTATTCCATTTAACAAAATGTTCTTAAAATGCATTCATGGCAAGGTTTCCTTGCTTTCAAAGGCTCACCAGCATTACATTGTATTTTGTCTTTCCATTCATTTCGGGGATGGACATTTGAGTTGCTACTACCGCCTTGGCTGAGTAGTGCTGCTATGAACATATATGTGCAAAATGTCCATTTGAAAATCCCCCTTTTTCAATATTCTTAGAATTGAGAGTTGTTGAGCTGGGTGGTGGTGTTGCACGCCTTTAATCCCAGCACTTGGGAGGCAAAGGCAGGCGAATCTCTGAGTTTGAGGACAGCCTGGTCTACAAAGTGAGTTCCAGGCCAGCCAGGGTTACACACCTGTAATTCCAGCTCTCGTGAGGCTGAGGAAGAAGGATTGCTGTGTTATTTGACACCAGTCTGAGCTACAGTGTGAGTGAGGGGGTGTGTGTGTGTGTGTGTGTGTGTGTGTGTGTGTGTGTGTGTAAAAAGAAAACATTTCACTAACACATGTAGAAAGAGTTCTCAGAATTGCTAGAGTAGGTTACCCTCTGCCCTAGGAAGTATTCCTCAAATGCTTAGGTACGATTTATGTTGTGACAAATACCACTGTAGGTATTGGGAATTAGAACCAAATAAAAATCAAATTCTTTTATTTGGTCATCAGTAAAAAGAGCAAGCTCAAATTTGAATTTTCTGTTTCTCTCCGTTTATCTTCCCTCTGTCTGAAGTCTGGTTACTGGTCTGTCTGTAGTATGTGTCTTTGTCTGCCTGAACGGTCTCTGCTGTGGACTGTCCCTAACAGAGGGCTTTGCTCTGTATTTATTTACTAACACAGAAGATAAGGCATGGGGAAGGAATAAGGGGTACTTTATAGAAATCTTTAATAGAGTTTTACATGGGATGAAACTTTCCTGGCTCCAGCTAATCCCAGAGCACTCAGAAAAACAAATGTACTGTAAACAAATGTTATTAATCTATATTCATATGCTGTTTCCAATATTTATGGCTGATATTTATTTTATAAGGTTGCTTCCAACCTACTGGCTGCTTTCAGCAAACGATTACAACACACACACACACACACACACACACACACACACACACACACACACACCTCTGAATTTAGGGACTGGAAAAGAATATAACTTAATGCATTAGCTTAGGTTATAAATGGGAGATCATATTAAGGTTGGTTGTTGTGTGTGTTCTCTTAAAGTTGGGTTAAACCTAAACAGTCTGAGCACACAGTAGGATAGTAGGCTAAGTCTTTAGTGAGCTCAAGTTGCATTATTAAGTTGGCTGTGATGTCCAGCAAAAGCTTTGTCTGTTTGAATGCAAGAGATATTTTCATAAAATTGTTATCACTTCAAAAAATTGTTAAGTTCTGTCATCTTTTTTTTTTTTTTGGTTTTTGGAGACAGGATTTCTCTACGTAGCCCTGGCTGTCCTGGAACTCGCTCTGTAGATCGGGCAGGCTTTAAACTTAGAGATCCAGCTGCCTCTGCCTCCCGAGTGCTGGGATTAAAGGAGTGCGCCACCTCTGCCGGCAGTGCTGTCATCTTTTGTTGTTGTCTGTCGAGCTGTGGGTTTGGACTCTGAAGTGAACATTGGCAGGGTGTGGCAGGCTTTCTTTTGGGCCACCACCCAGCTCCCAAATAAAGACATGGAGACTTATTAGTTATGAATGCTCGGCCTTATCTTATACTTGTCTCACTAGCTCTTATAACTTAATTTAACTTGTTTCTTTTCATCTCCATTTTGCCATGGGGTTTTTTACCTTTTTTTCATACTGTATATCCTACTTTCACTGTTTCCTCAGTGTCTGGCCGGCCCGCCCCAGGTGTCTTCTCTTTTCTCTTTCATTCTCTTCTCTCTCCTCCAGCCTAGAATCCTCCTCTGCCCGCCAGCCCCACCTATCCCTCTACTGCCTTGCTATTGGCTGATCAGCTTTTTATTAGCCCAATCAGGTGCCTTAGGCAGGCAAGGTGAACCGGCAACACATCTTTACATTGTTAAACAAATGCAACATAAACAAACTCAGCATAAACAAATGCAACATAATTTTACATAGTTAAAGTAATGTTCCACAATGGCAGGGCGTGGAGCCAGGAGTTGATGCAGTCTCTTGACTCCAAGCTTGAACTCATTTTCTTTTCTGAGATTTTGGGAAACCAGGTATGGTGACACACATCTGTATTCTCAGAACTGAAGTCTGAGACAGGAGAACCATGAGTTAAAGACCAGTCTAATGTATATGGTGAACTCCAAACAGGCCTGGGTGAGAAACTGTCTCAAGAAAAAAAAGAAGCAAAACTATGGGAAGTGATTTGTACCTTAGTGCTACTACATTTGTGTTCTCCTTTATTCCAGTCCTTCCTCATCCTGGTGTGTGCGTGTGCGTGTGCGTGTGTGTGTGTGGGGAGAGAGAGAGAGAGAGAGAGAGAGAATGAGAATGAGAATGAACATGCTTATTTTAGCTCCATACTTTGACCTCCATACTTAGGTCAAAATCGTCTTTATTTAAGTTCAGCAGATGTATTTTGTAAATGAATTTAGGCCACACCTATTCCTGTTCCCTGACTTCATCTGAGAGTTTCTCACTCAGCCTGCCCAGGGAGATCTGCCTTTGGCTTCTCCAGTCACTATGATTACCGCTGCTCCTGTTCTGAGTACACACTGCACACTTTTCACCATACACTTCGATGTATCATTATTACCTTTAATAGATAGTGTGTACTCTCTCCCTCCTCTCTTCACTGTTTTCATGTGTTTAAATTTACTCTTGACAAGAGATTTCTCATCTGCCACCCTCCTTTAGTACTAGTTATTCTAGTAAATACACCTGTGTGGTGACAGTTCACTATGGCAATGATGATGGTGGTGGTGGTCCAGGTGAATACAAGGTTTCCTGAAAATGTATCTGGATAAATTTTCTTTCTTTGCCTTTGCTTTGTGATAGGCTGTGGATGATGTAAAGAAAGGTTACATTAAAGCAGAGGAGAAGTCTTACCAGTTACAGAAGCTATATGAACAAAGGAAAATGGTCATGGTAAGTTTGTGTCTCCAAATCCTTTTATAAAATGCCCTGATTACCTCTTAAACTTCTTGTCCTAGTCAATTTTGAAAGGTACCACAACCTGGTGAGAGGCTTAATTAATTAAGAGGGGGTACATACAGACTTTGATGTAGAATCTCATTGTGTTTAGAATCTCATTGTGTTTCCCCACTTATTACATCAAAACTTAGATTATTACACATAGGTACATAATTTTGTTAATAATAACGAAACAATATTCTTTTGTATGAAGATGTGATAAAACAAAACTGGGAATAGTGATCCACTTCTGTAATCCTAGCACTCTGGAAGTGGAGACAGGAAGAAAAGATTGTCCTTAAATGTCTAGTGAGTTTAAGGCCAGCCTGGGTTACATGCATCCTGTCTCAGAACAGCAGCAGCCATAACACTGGCTGGAGAGTTGGCTCAGTGGTTAAGAACACTTGTTGATCTTGCAGAGGACCTGAATTCGATTCCCATCACCTGCATGGCTTCTCACAACTGTCTGTAATTCCAGTTCTAGGGAATCTGATGCCCTCTTCTGACCTCTACGGGCACTAGGCACACACATGGTATACTTACATACAGGCAAAACATTCATACACATAAAATAAATAAATCTAAAAAAACTCCTTAACATTATAATATAAATATTCTATAAGAACCTAGTATTTAGATTTTTTTTTTAAAGTTTTTAGTATTTATCAATTCTAGAGCATGTCTTAGCCCTGGTTAGCCTGGAGCTTGGTATGTAGCCCAGACTGGCCTCAAACTGTGGGTATAGACCAGGCTACCCTTGAACTTCCTATTTCAGCTTCCAAATGGTGAGACTACAAGAACAAGCCACCACATTCAGTTAAGTCTTTACATTAACATTTAGTTTAGTTGTGGTTAGCAAAGTCATTACTTTTACAACTTATTTTTCTCCATTTGTTTAGACAGTTATGCTCAGTAGTGCTTTTTTTAAAAATGTATGATTTCCTAGAATTGTATTTGATTTAGCCACTACTGGCTTTGTGGCTTTTTAAATCTAAATTTGATTTTTAAAAAATTTATTTAAATTTATTTTATGTGCATTAGTGTGAAGATGTCAGATCCCTTGGAAGGAATTACAGACAGCTGTGAGCTGCCATGTGGGTGCTGAGAATTAAACCCAGATCCTCTGGAAGAGCAGCCAGTGCTCTTAACTGCTGAGCCATCTCTTCAGCCCCTAAATTTGAAATTATTTAAAATTCATTCCTTTGGTTATACTGGCCACATTTTAAAATAGTCCTGTGTGGCCAGTGACTGCCATGTTGGACAATACAGGTCTAGAACATTTTCAGCATCGCAGGAAGTTCTTTTGGACAGTTCTGCCTAGCATGTTCTTTAAATGTTTTAAAATTAGTTTTTAATTTGTATCTGCCATAAATACAGTGGTGGACATTGAAAAAAAAAAAAACCTAGTAAAAATAAAACTGGTAAAGAATACTTACAAAATGTTCAGTCATTTACAAATTTGTAATCATAATATATTTACAATTTAATATAATTTATAGTATAATGTAGTATATTATAAATTATAAATATAAATTTCTCTCTTGGCATATCACTGACAGCTGAAATTTTTGCAGTGTTCCATGTGTATCACACAGCAGCAGATGCATTGCTAATGATCCTGATACACTACTTGAATTATTTTTTTGCCTTCTGTGTACTTATTATCTATTTAAGTTAATTTCTTTAATTAGGTCAGGTGTGGTGGTATATACCTATAATCTCAGCCCTTAGGAAGCTAAAGCAAGAGGATCATTATTTAAGACCAGACTGGTCTGTCTAATGAGTTTGAGTTTGAGATCAGCCTGGACACATAGTGAGACCATGTCTTGACATCATTCCCCCTATACATACACAGAGAACCATTAAGTTAAAAGGTAAATAGTCCATAACCTACATCTAGGAAGGATATTTTATCACTTACATGATAAAAAAAATCTCTTCCATAGAAAGTCATCAGAAATCAGGGAACCATCTTACTAACACAAGCTAAAACAGAAAATAAAAAATCTTAAAAGTATAATTAAATATTGGCAGAATTTTGGCTAAGGGAAGATAGATCGCTGTGAGTGAGGCTATTCTTTAAGACAGTAGCCCTGGGACCAGTTGTGATGGCACATGTGAGCAGATCACTGTGAGTGAGGCCAGCCTGCAGGGTGAGCTTCAGGCCAGCCAGGGCTACTTAGTGAGGTCTGGAGAGATGGCTCAGTGGTTAACTGCACTGGCTGCTCTAGGAGAGGACCAAGGTTCAGTTCCCAGCACCCACATCAGCAGCTCACAATCTCTAACAGCAGTTCCAAGGGATCTGATGCCTTCCTCTGGCCTCCACAGCACCAGACATATATGTGGTATATAAACATACATGCAGGCAAACATGCATATACATACAATAAAAGTAAAACATTTTAAAAAGCATACTTGAGCTGGGCAGTGTTGGCACATACCTTTAATTCCATTATTCGGGAGACAAAGGCAGGCGGATCTCAGTGATTTCAAGGCTAGCCTGGTCTACAGAGTGAGTTCCAGGACAGCCAGAGCTGTTATACAGAGAAACTCTGTCTCAATACAAAACAAAAAGGCATCCTTGAGATTGTGAAACCTGAAGAGCTTCAGAATCTCAGTTCAAGTTTGGGGAGACTTTTGGCCCCCCAGGTTCCTCTCAGGGCCTTATCGCCATTAGACCTGGTCTGTCCTTTGGCAAGTCAGCTAGGAGAACAGGATTCTTTAGAATGGATCGTTAGCCCATTCACCTGAAGTGTCCTGCTCTGTTAGGCACCACACCTCTCTCTTGGCAACTACTGAACATTTATGAAATGTCCTTTACTACATCTTTCCTCTTCCACCCAAGTGGTTCACATATCTAAGTCATATGTAATGATTCAAGATCATATTTAGCTATTCAAAATTGAGAATGGACAGAATAATTCTATGTGGCTGTTTTGTCTTTAAGACAGGGTCTCATGCCCAGGCTAGGGTTGCACTTGCTGTCTAGCCAAAGCTGGTCTTGAACTTCTTCCCACTTATATCTCCCAGGTCCTAGTATGACAGGTATATACCACCGTGCCTAGCTTTAAAATTTTGTTTTTTAGATACATGTTGTAAATATGTTAGAAATAAAAATTTACCTTTCTAGTTTTGAATCTATGTAAATTTTCAGTGTTCTTTTCAAGTTTGCTACAAACTCAACAGTGTAGGGATTGTCTACTTAAACCTGAGAAATGGTGCCAACCTGAGAGTCTCCAAAGACCTTGGTCCCAGTAAGACTATATCTGGCTTCTCATCAAGGACATGAGTGCCTTAGTTTCCATTCAGATTATTTTTAGGCCAGTAAAAACTCTCTTGAAGGTCTTTTGATTTCAAGGGTGACATCATTGACTCCAAGGACAGGAAGAGGAGATTCAGTCTGTGCCAGTCCTGTTCTAAACTGGTTATGAAGTATTCGCCTCATTTTACAAAGTACACTCAGAATGCAATGTCTTGGCTACTTTTCCTGCTTGTTGTGACCAAATACCAGACAAAAAGCAATTTAAGGGAGGAAGAATTTACCCTGGCTTACAGTTAGAGGGATACAGTCCATCCTGATGACAAGAGTGGGGGACAGCTGATCAGGGCCTGCCTCTGGTCACCTACTTCTTCCAGTAAGGCTCCCCCTCCTGAAGGTTCCACAGCCTTCCAGAAACAGTGCCAGCCAGCTAGGGACCAAGTGTTCAAACCCACGAGCCTGTCTGAGACATATCACGTTCAAACCACAGTGTCTAGGATCATGTGACTGACTAGTTAGAGTAGAGCTAGGATTTGGGGTGGTATTAGAACTCCAGTGCATGTTTCCCCGGAATTAAGGGAGAGAGGGTGTCCTTTACTTCCAGGTGGCCTTTTTTTTCCAGTGGGAAGGCCCCAGGAATAATACTTTCTTACTATCACAGAGCATTCAGGATACACAGAGATCCATATCTCTTCTGGTCGCTTTTTCTAATCTTTGTCTTTATCTACATGTTGCTTTAAAAAAAAATGTTTACAGAGGATTTGCTATGGTGGTATAAACATGTGATTCCAGTACTCATGAGGCAGAGACAGAAGCACAAGTTTAAGGGTAGCCTGGCGTACTTAACCTGTTCCAGGCCAGCTTACCAGGCTACATAATAAGACCCTGCCTCAAAGACATTCACCTCTCTCCTACAAAAAATCTGTACAGTCAAATGCCCTATTAGGAATATGGCAGATATGTTTGTCAGAACAGCACACCTGTGTCCGGAAGAAGACAGTTTTTAATGGATTTCTTTTATGCTAGCTGTTTTTTGTTAAAGAACATGAGCAGAACTAATCTTCAGGTTCTGTGACACCCACCTGCATTACAGCTTTTTAAGCACCATTGAGCAGAATAGCTGTGTATTGAGCCTGTCAGTGTTTCTAATGACTATATTAGGAATATGACTTGGATTAAATACTGGAGGCCTGGGTTCGGGGCATTTTTTTCCCTTTACTATTTACCCTTTATTGTAAGTTTCTTGTTTATTTATTTATTTATTTATTCATTCATTCATTCATTCATTTATTTATTTATTTATTTATTTATTTATTTATTTATTTATTTATTTGGTTTTTCGAGACAGGGTTTCTCAGTATAGTTTTGGTGCCTATCCTGGATCTCTCTCTGTAGACCAGGCTGGCCTCGAACTCACAGAGATCCACCTGGCTCTGCCTCCCGGGTGCTGGGATTAAAGGCGTGCGCCACCACCGCCCGGCTTATTGTAAGTTTTTTAACAGAGAAGCTGAAAGGATGGTACAGAAGGTACAGAAGGCCCCATGTACCACCTGCTACGCTAGCTAGCAGTCTTCACCTTTCTAACCTGCATGCTTTGGCTGGCTCTGTCTTGCACTGGAATTTTTGGGTTTTTTTTTATTTGCTTGGTCTCTGTGGTGCCGCAGGTTGAACCTAGGGCTTCACACATGTTTGGCAAGTATTATTTCGCTGAGTTAACACTCCCAGTCCCTACCCTGGAAGTTGTTTTTGTTTTTAATGTGTGGTGTGTGTTTGTCTGCTGGTCTATGTGTGTACCACATGCATGTAGTGCCCAAAGCATCCAGAAGAGGGTGTCATCTTCTGGAGCTAGGGTTATAGACAGTTGTGAGCCCCAGTGTGGGTGCTGGGAACCAGACTTTGGTCCTCTGCAGGCACAGCTAGTGTTCTTAAATGCTGAGCTATCTCTCCAGCCCCCTGCTCTGCAGTTTTTAAAAGTAATTTCCAGATCTGCCATTTCATAACCATTCTTTTTTGTACACCAAGTGGGTGTACCCTCACTCCTCTAGCTCTCAAGCCATTCTTGAGAGGGAAAATGGTTGAGCCCTTTGGCTAATGATAATGGAGCTTTTAAAAAGATTTTAACTGCTGGCCAGTGGTGGCAAGACATCTTTAATCCCAGCACTTGGGAGGCAGAGGCAGGCAGATCTTTGAGTTCAAGGCCAACCTGGTTCCAGCCAGGGCTTTACAGAGAAATTTTGTCTTGACAAAGAAAACAAAAACAGATTTTTTAAAATTATCATTTGTTAACTGTCTAATTATGCATCAAATTCTGTGCTAAGTATTTTATATTTGATGTTAACAAATAATACTATGACCTAGGTGCTGTCATTATTTCCCACTTTATAGAGTAAGAATTAAGGGTCCGGGAAGGAGTAAAGTCCTGTCGCTAGGAAAGAATGCATTTGGATTTCAGTGCAAGGTAACCTGAGCCCAGCCCAGGGACCCGGCACTCCTCCGTGTGCCGCTGTCTGACCCAGGCCTGCTGCTGGGTCTGTCTTAGAAGGTTCCATAGCACCTACCTTGTCATGTTTACCTGTGTGTCGCAGGCCTTGTCCTCTGCTCACAGCCGGAGCAGTAGATAGTGTCCGCGTCTACTGGTAGAGGAAGGACAATAGAAAAGGAAGAGACAGTGATGGTGGAGGAATGCGGGGAACAGGCTTGAAGTCTTCTGTCTTCTGAACTCACCGGCCTCTGTTCTTGTTCGTTGTAATTTCCCATCTTCTAAGTTATTGTACTGAAGAAGAAATATAAAGTAGGCAGCGTGTGATCCCTCCTTCCTGGACACCTAAGCCCCTCAGAGCCAGTAGTGTCAGTCCCCAGTAGCAGAGCCACAGATTGCCTAGTGTCTCTTTGTGCATCTGTCATTTCCTTTTTTTTTTTGAACAGTTTTATTTTATTTATTTATTTATTTACTTACTTACTTACGATTTATTTAGTTATTACATATACAGTGTTCTGTCTGCATGTATACCTGCAGGCCAGAAGAGGGCACCAGATCTCATTACAGATGGTTGTGAGCCACCATATGGGTGCTGGGAATTGAACTCAAGACCTCTGGTAGAACAGCCAGTGCTCTTAACCCGAGCCATCTCTCCAGCCCCCTGTCATTTCTTAGTAAGAGAGAAGGCTACTGTCTGGTTCTCAGTTTGGAATTCCTGCCCATATGCTGAAGTCACCTAAGGTAGTGTGCCTCTGCCCATACCAACAGTGGCTGGTCTTCGGTGACTTTCATGTGAGGGTGTGGAGGCTCAATCCTGTATGCTTATTTCCCGGCGACCCTTGAAAGGACACCAGCTCAGGGACCGTGAGTCTTTTTACTTCCTTCTTATCTCCTTGTAGCACGAATCTTAAAAGGTCTTATTCATAAAAACAAACCCAAGGCCAGGTATTGGGGTGAACGCTGGAAGATCAGAGAAGCAGAACAAGCCACAGCTTCCTCACCTCGCCAGTTCCTCAGCTGATCCTGTTTCCTCAGACTGGAAGCCTCTGAGTCCTCATCTGAATAGATCTCAGCTGAACTGCTGCTAAAAGCCTAAAAGCTTAACCAGGCTCTAGTTCTTCGTCCTCATGCCTTAAATACCTTTCTGCTTCCTGCCATCACTTCCTGGGATTAAAGGCGTGAGTCACCATGCCTGGCTGTTTCCAGTGTGGCTTTAAACTCAGAGATCTGGATGGATCTCTGCTTCCCAAGTGATAGGATTAAAGGCGTGTGTGCCACCATTTTCTGGACTCTCTATATCTAGTGGCTGTTCTGTTCTCTGGTCGCAGATAAGTTTATTAGGGTGTACAATATTTTGGGGAACACAATATTACTACATCTCCTCTTGTCTCTTTTATGCTCCATCCACATGTCTTATATCTTTCTTGCTAAACTTAGAATGTGAGTTGAGTTAAAGACCAGCTGAAACAGTAGAGTGGGAACAAGGCTGAGTGAGCTTCAGAGTTCACAGCCTTCTCTGGATTAATCTTATGAGGATCGTGTATTTACTTGTTTGGGTCCAGATGCTTTATGAGGAGTCACGTTGTCTTAGTTTCATCCATGCTGCTGTGATGAAATACCCTGACATGCAGCCTAAAGTTTGTTTTAGTTTGCAGTTTCAGACTGTTCCATGTTTCACAGCATATGCACATAATGCATGCATACCTATGTTCAGCTCACCTTTTTCTCTTTTGACAGTCTAATACCCAAAGCCAGGGAGTTGTGACACTCATGTTTAGGCTGTTTCCCATATCAGTTTAATCAGATAACTCCCCACAGACATGCTTACAGGCAACCCAGTCTAGACAGTTCCTCACTGAACCTCCTTTCTCAGTCAGTTGACTTTAGAGTGTGTTGGGTTGACAGTTAAAACTGCCATATATATATATATATATATATATATATGTATGTATATAATACACACACACACACACACACACACACACACACACACACACACACACACACGAGACTCAGGACAACTGAGCACTTAGGAATTAGCTGATGTGAAGAAAGGCAAGTCTAGGGATCTAGTTCTAATTGTTCGTTTCTGATGAATAACCTCAAGGTAGGTTCACCTCCCTCTGCGTTCTGTAAAATGACAAAATGACTGAGGGGGATTTTGTTTGTTTGTTTTAGTTTTAACATGTTATGAGTGTGAGCTATGTAGTCTTCATTAAGATCAGTGCAACTTGGTTAGCGAAGCTCGGTGAGATTCCCGTCCCTTAAGTACATGGAAGGAGGACCACGCCGACTGCCGTGGGGACTCCTTTCTAATGCTAGTGTCTTGACTACGGTGTCTCTCTTGTCACTTCATTCCTGTGTCATTTTCCCATGAAGAACCGGGTGTTAGAAGGATGGAGGTAAAGCTGAGAATGGGAGAAAGGCGTGCCACAGAGGCCCAACCCAGTGCAGGGACAGATGTGAAGTCAGAAGCCAGGTCTTTGGGTAGTTAGGTGAAATGCTCTTGTCCATCCCAGCAGCTGCACTGTGCTTCAGTGTCTTTGTGACGTGGTTTTCACTTTTATTTGTTTAGTACCTGAACATGCTGAGGACTTGTGAGGGCTACAACGAGATCATCTTCCCACACTGTGCCTGTGACTCCAGGAGGAAGGGGCATGTTATCACGGCCATCAGCATCACGCACTTCAAACTTCATGCCTGTACTGAGGAAGGACAGCTGGAGGTGAGAGCCCTGCCTGGGGCTGGGCCAGGGGCTCTGTCTGTCATTGGGCACCTTGTTACTTTCTGTGTTTTAGTTCCTCTGTGGGGCAAATGAAATCAAAACTATGTTGATGATAATCAGTGACTCCATATTGATCCTTATTTCACTGGTTCCTTACTCCAAATTACTCATTTTGATTATTGTGTGTACGCGTGTGTGTGCACACTCCTGCATGTCATGGTACGTGTGTGGAGGTTATTGGACAACTTTGTGGAGTCATTTTCTTCTTCCACCTTTGTGTGGGTTCTGAGGCTCAAACTCAGGTCAACTTGCCCAGTAAGCATTTACCCACTGAGCCACCTCACCAGCCTCAGTTTCTCCTATCATAACCTTTCCCTGAAACACTGAGCATTTCTCCATCCGAATCCCTTTGCCTCAGCCTAGACTGTAGACCTTACTCTGATGTTCTTGGCTGTCTAGAACCAGGTAATAGCGTTTGAATGGGATGAGATGCAGCGATGGGACACAGATGAAGAAGGAATGGCCTTCTGTTTTGAATATGCACGAGGAGAGAAGAAGCCTCGATGGGTTAAAATCTTCACACCATATGTGAGTGGGAGATGGGAGGCATGGGGGAAATAGAGTGGACTTTTGAAGTAAGTCCTAGAGGGAACTAAAGGAAAAATAGCATGAATCTGGGGCTTTAGGAAGCAACGAAGTCACAATCCCAGAGAACTCTTTCTTTCTTTGTCTTGCCATAGTTGGTGTTTGTTGCTGTCGTTCATTTGTTTATGACAAGCTCTCACTGTGTAGCCATGGTTGGCCTGGAACTTGCTAATGTAGACCAGGCTGGCTTTGAACTCAAAGAGATCCACTTGTTTCTGCCTTCTGAGTGTTGGGATTAAAGATGCATGCCACCACACCCTTGGTTTCTCTGTAGTATTTCTATAGCCCCTGAATACATGCTTTTATTCCTTTGTTGATAACCATAAAATCAAAAGGACCAGTTTGACGTATTGTCCTGTTGGGATTGTGAAATTTGCATCCTGTACGTCATAGTCACCACTAGAAGGAGCTAGAGAACAATAGATTGTCAGGTCTGTCTGTGTCTATGGTTCGCAGCAGGATTTTTTTCTATCCTGGGTGGGTTTGGAAGGTGGGATGATAGAGCTGAAGTTCAAAGGCATGTTCTTGTGCCTGGTCTTGGGAAGTCAGTGAGTATTGCTACCTTTTTTTTTCCAGTTCAATTACATGCATGAATGCTTTGAGAGGGTGTTCTGCGAGCTCAAGTGGAGAAAAGAGGTAATTCTAAAGAATTCTTGAATTCATTTCTTCATCTTCTTGTTTAAAATGTATAGGCCCATGACCAAATACTGGGACCCTCACCTCCATTTCTGTCTTTCTAGGAATATTAGTTAGAGACTGATTATCCCATGTGAGCCAGGACATTCTCCCAGCGAGGCTGGCCTCTGGATGGTGAATGGGCTCTGCAAAAAAAGCCCGGCTTCTTCCCTTGTGTAGAGGGTGGACACTGGCTGCAGGCTCTCCCATCTCTCATGACTTCATGGACCCTCTTCTGCTTGTTTGATTGATTTTTGTTGTTGTTGTTGTTTTAATCAAATAACCCTCCATGTTGTTGCTGACCCAGGAGAGCTCCTGCCCTGAGCTTAGCCATCTGACTGGATAAGTCACAGTAGAGTCCTTCTTCACTAACCGAGAACATGTATGTGGGGGAAATTGGTTGCTACTCAGTGCTGGAGCAGAATTTAGAAGACTCTGTCAAAATACTTAGCTCAAAGAAAATCAGGAAGTGAATAGGTCCAGTCAGTCACGTGGAAGTTGATGTTCTTGCTATAGTAGAAAGAACACTGGGCTCTGGAAGTCATCTGGGATTTCTCCTGCTTCTTTTATCTGTGATTTGGGCAAAGCAACCTCCTTAGATCTGAATTGTCTCTTATAACAGGAAGACTGAGCCAGGTGGTACTATTGAGAGTCCTCCATGCTCAGAGGCTGTGGTTCTGAGTGGGAAGTTGGATCCAGTTGTCAGCCAGGCTTGCTGCTCCTGCTGTGTGTGCGGGCTGTCTCCAGACTGGAGGCCACACTGCTCCTCAGTAATTCTTCTTTTCTTTTCCTTTCAGAATATTTTCCAGATGACGAGGTCACAGCAGAGGGATGTGGCCACCTAGCCTTGCCTCATCCCTTCCCTTCTCCTTGTCCTCATCCTCTTAGCCTTTTGTCTCCCATGCCAGACAGTAACCATTAACACAAAAGAAGAAAAAAAGTCATATATCCCAAAGTCCTAAGCTAAATATTATTAATACTTCCCTGTGAATTTCACGTCTCTGAAACTGAGCTGGTAGAGAAGAGCAGGTTGATAGTGCCAGAAGTCCACTGAGATCAGACAGAAATAAGGCCAACCAACTCGCCAAAGGCATCTTGGTCGTTTTCCGGGCCTCATACCAACAGACTCTCCTTGTACTATATTTTTAAAACTGGAACTATGAACTCCATCCATTTGCACTGTTCAAGCATATATATGTATGTATGTAAAAAATTATATATACACAAATTAGCTGCACGTATATACATATATATTTCTTTTTAAATTTCATATTGATGGCAGTACCTTTTTTAGCTTGTGTTTTTACACACCTTCACTGATTCATGATCTCTCTCTTGCTCTCTTTATTTTGAAACAAACTTTAAAAAGGAAAAAAAAAATTACAGGGAAAATACCTCTCCTCATGAAGGACTCGAAAAGTTTACAACCTGCTTGGGTTTCCCCCTTTTTTGTATCGAGTACAGTTTCTGGCTGTTGGTTTGCCAGAGAGTCTGAGGAGCAAGGGGTGTAGTGTCTTTATCTTCAAGAGGGTGCTGAGAGGGGAAAGGCTGTTTCTCAAGAGCAGTGAGACTGCACGTCTGCAGGGACTCTAAAGATCCATGGTCTCAGTTCCAAGTCATCTTCCTGGTCTGTCGCCCCCACTATGGCTCACTAGTCCATTCTGCATCTCCTTCCTGTTTCTTTAGGGCCCAAAACAGAGTTGAGGGTAGTCTCAGGAAGCTGTTCTCATAGGCAGCTCTTCTTCTGCGACAGGGATAGTATTGGAGACTGGGAGTGAAGCTTGACATCGGAGGCACAAAGGTTGGACGTGTGGAGGGAAGGAAGGAGGCAGTACCTCATATCTATAAGGGTTTTACCTCCTCCGTTCCTGTCCCATAACCACCTATATTTTACATCCTCCAAGACTTCCTGAAACAGTTGTCTGGGGAGGGAGTGACTTGGGTAAACTTAGAGTCTGAGTCTCTGTCAACCAAACCATAGCCCTACTCATGCCAGCTAAGGGCCCAGGAAGAAGTGGAAATATGCTTGATGTTGGTTGATTCCGCTTTCTACTTCAAAGGGGACTGGAGAGAAGTCTCTCAAAGAGTTCTTCATCTGGGGCTGGGGCTGGGGCTGGGGCTGGGCCTCAATCGGTAGAGTGCTTGCTAGTATGCATAAAGCCCTAGGTTCCATTCCCAGCACCACATAAACCTGGGTGTGGCAGTGCACACCTGTAATCTCAGCACTTAGGAAGGGAGAACAGCAAGGTCAGAAGTTCAAGCCCATCCTCTGCTAAAATGTGAGCTCAAGGCTATCCTGGATTCCATGAGACTCTGTCTCAGAAGTAGAAGAGGTTCTTATCTGCCCTTGCATTTAGACTTCCTAGGACCTAAGAACTACGTTTGGGACACAGGCCAGGGCTGGCACTAGGGTAATATTCTCAGACCTTGAGTTCCTGCTTCCCTGTTTTACCTTCCAAATAGAAGCCTCCATAGGCTGGCATCCTTGGCTTTATGTAGCTGGAAGGCAGCCAGAATTGGGTGTAGTTGGCAGTGTTGGGTTTGGTTTAAAGTTTCTTTCATACTGATTTTGCAGATTACTATGAGGCCACTTTTCTGTCTCTATAATTCTGGTAGCCACTTGTCTCAGGAAGGTGTGAACCTTTTAGGACAGCCTATTCCTTCCCTCTCTGTGGGACCACAAAGTATAAAATATAAGAATGGGGAGTGTTTAAAGTTGAAGAAGATAATACTTGTTTTGAAGGCTTTAATCCAGGATCAACTCTTTGGGCTTTAATAATGTCTGAGTACCTTAAAAGTAGATGCATTGATTTCTACTCCAAGATGCTTTGGAGGCCATCTTTGTTTAAACTCTAAAAATAGCAACAATGTGCCCCTGTTCCCTCAGCGGGAGAGGCATGAAGGAGTCTAATGACAGCCTTCAGAGTAGAGACAGGGCTTTCTGGAGGTCCCGAAGAATGAGCCCCAAAGGTGTTGGCCTGTTAACAGAATCTGTGTAGAAGCAGAGCTGCCTTGAGGCAGTTTCACAGCTGCAGCCAGGAGATGGGAAGGAGACCCATAAGGCTCATAGTGGGGCTCCAGTCATGGAGGCCCAGAGGATCAAGCCCCTTTGCATGAAGCTGCATTAGATGTAACTCTACTCCACCCCATCTCCCCTGCACTTCCTTTCTCCAATGCCTACTATGTTTCTTAGTCCTGGCTTCTGCCCAGGGTGGCATCTACCCAGTCTTCTTTTGCAGCTTATCTCTGAGAAAGGGAATCCCCCTCCCCAGCTTCACCCCAGCAGGATCTTCCTGGTCTCCCATTGTTTCTTCCATGTTGAGTTTCTATTCTCTGAGACAAAAATTCAAGAGATTTTTTTATGGACCCTGAGAAACTTGGCCCTGTAGGAAGCTTTGCTTGGGTAGTGCTTTGAGCTTGCCGCTCTTTGTACTTTTATCCTGGTCTCCATTTTCCTGCCCTCCCCATGCTGAGGCCTAAGCTCAGCACAGCTGCAGATATATTAGTGCTCAGGGCAGCTCCGAGGCCTGGACAGAGCTCTCAGGGAGGAACGAGGTCAGTATCCCAGCATCCTCTTGCCTGCCCGTTTAGTTTTATCCTTTAGTTTCCGGGGCCATTAGCTTTGAGTTATCCCCTTCTATAACTCCAAAGCCAGTGCTTGGAGCAGCAGAGTAGGGCACTGATAAGAGGGGACACCTCTTTCATCTCAGAATTTCCAGCTTAAGGGCCAGCTCCTAGAAAGCAGTTTTCTTAAAGGGACCTGAATGCATATGAGTTGACCTCAAGTCTCCAGGACGGGAGGGTCTCCCTGCTCTCCTGTCCATTATGCTGTCTGGGGCAGGGAATGGCCTCAGCACACTGCTGCTCCTTCACCAGTTTTATGGGTTACTTTAACTTCTTTTTGGAGGAGGGAGAGTGTCTAAATACTCAGAGCTAGTGGGAGGCTAGTAGGAGAATGCCTCTTTAGCCCTCCACCTTGGGTTCCTCTTAATCTAACCCTGATTGCATCTGCCAGGCCTCCTTTACCTAGACAGCAGCAGCTTCCTCAGAAGTAACTGAGGGTGTATGGAGATTGGGCTCTGAAGACGGCCTGACGCTGGTAGGAGCTCTTGGCCAGCTGCTAAACGTGGGTGCCAACTTGATACCATGCCCCTTTTAGCCAGCGAGCTGGGTTTCGGCTTTTCCCAGGCCGTGCATCCTTTAATTTATTTGAGAGAAGCTCTAATTGTATGTTCACTGCAGTGTCTTGTATTTTTATTTGTGATTTATGAAATGTGAAGAGAAAATGCAGAGACCACACTGGCTCCAGGGTTTCTCCGGCCCCTGCTCTAGAGCTAACCACTCTAAGATTGTTTGGTAATGTCACTTAGTGTAATTAATTGTAACATATTCTTTTAAATAAATTGATTTATTGATGAAACAATTTCTTGGTTTCCTAGACTACAAATCCTTTGGGTTATGTGGGAAGAACTAAACAGGGGCCTTTGAGAGTTCATTCGGAATGGCTAGTCTGAAATGAGAGGGGACATCTGACTGGTTTCCATTTCCCTCCTCCAGTGAGGAGGGAATGGAGGCAGGAGGGAGCAGTTCTTCAGAAATTCCATCTGCTACCTCAGCTCGGAGTTTGTTGAGCCCTCCTGCACAGAATCCTGTGACTATTCACAGACCCCCTCACTAACCAAGCACAACTAAAACCTGGCAGAACCTCGAGGACATGGTGTTAGGCCCCCAGCTCACCCCAGCGTGTTTATATCTCATTTCTAAATAAATAAGGAGACATTTTTATATCGCCCCTAGTGAATGCCTAGGCAACACCAGGTCTGGGGGTTGCATTCACTTCTGTGATCATGTGCCTGAGAATAAGGGTGGTCCTGCTGTCCTTGCTCTTACAGAGAGAGCCCAGGTACCAGGCCACCTCCTACTCAGAAGAGAACCTGCTCCCCAAAAAGATCAGCATTTGTAGTGGGTCAGACATTTCTTGGTATTTTCATAGCCCTTTACCACATGCTTTTGTTCCTTAGTTGATCCTAAGAGCAAAGACCACCAAGTTTGATATTTGGATTTGGGGAGAGATGACATCCACAGTCTCATTCACCCAGCCACCAATATCCAGTATTTGGAATCTGACAAATACTATGCCACTGACCACTAGACATTAAAACATATTTTTTCTCTTTAATAAGGGAAGATCCATAGAAAGGTAGAATTATAGAACTAGAATTACAGAGGTCAAAGTCAACACCATTAAATACCATCTGTATGAGACATTGTGTAAGAAACTGCAGTAGATGCAGGCATGCTCATAGCCTTACAGAGGAGACAGGACAGCCTCATGATACACAGTGGAAGGTTTCAGTGCTATGAGGACACTAATAAAAGGCCCAGACATGGTGCATGTCTACAACCTCAGGGTCTGAGGATTAAGAGTGCAAGACCAGCCTCAGCTACACAGCAAGTTCACAGCCAGCCTGGGCCACATAAGACCCTGTCTCAAAATTGAGGGAAGGGCCAAGATGGCTCAGTCTAGATGCTAGCTACCAAGCCTGACAACCTGAGTCCCTGTGTCCCACATGGTGGAAAGAGAAAACTGATTTTCACAAGTTAGCCTCTGCACACACACGAGTTATATTGAATGCACATATACAATAAATATAAAAAGTTTTGACTTATAGATGAAGGCATAAAGGGAATCTTAAAGTGATATTTAATATGAATTATTTAACATGAGTAGGATTTCATCAAGCAGGATTTAAACAGCATGGGGCTGTTATGTACAAGACATTGAAGCAATGGAGAATGAAGAAACCCAGGGTAAGAAAGACCAGACTTGTCCAGAGCACAGTGAAGATATTGTTTCAGCGGAATATAGGGTATGTACAAGAATGAAGTAGAAGGTAAGGGTTTCCACGGCCCCCATTTTTACGTGCGTGCGCGCGCGTGTGTGTGTGTGTGTGTGTGTGTGTGTGTGTGTGTGTGTGTGTATTCACATGTGCGAGTCACAGTACACAGAGGACAGTTGTGGCAATTGATTCTTCTGCCATATGAAAGGCGGGATCAATTAGAAGACTGATATAATTATTCCATTAAGAAGCAGACACAGTGATGACTGAAAGGAAGGAAATAGATAGAATGACAAGTTGTAGAAATGAAATCTTTCATGATGTAATAACACTGAATGTCCATGAGAGGAGAGGAAAAGGCTCCCAAGCTCTGTGACTGGAGAGTGGAGAGCTGAGCCAGGCCAGGTGGGTACACCTGTAGTACCAGCACTTGGGAAGTGAAGGGTTAGGAATTCAAGAGCATCTTTGGCTATATAGCAAGTTCTAGACCAGCCTGGACTTCATGAAATCCTATCTCAGAAAATAAAGTGGCCTAGAGGGATGCCTCATCAGTTAAGAGCACTGACTGCTCTTCCAGGGGACCCAGGTTCAGTTTCCAGAACCCACGTGGAGGCTCACAACTATCTTAACTTCAGTTCCAGGGCATCCAATCCCCTCTTCGGTTTCTTTGGCCACAGGCAAACGTGGTGCCCAGATAAACATGTGGGCACTCACATAAAAAAGCCAGGCATGGTGGCACATGCCTCTAATCCCTCTAATGCAGGGAAGCAGAGAAAGGTCAATTCCCTGAGTTTGAGGCCAGCCTGGTCTACCGAGCGAGTTCTAGGCCAGCGAGGGCTATACAGACAAACTCTGTCTTGAAAAACCAAAAATCAATCAATCTTTAAAAAGAACAACAAAAAGCTCCAAGACTTTGAAAGGAAAGTGTTTTAGTATTGGACTATTCACATTTAGGCACAGGTGGGAAATCCCGTATAGATGTCTAGAGTCATTTCTTTAGAGGTGTTTCGTGTGTGTATGTGTGCACTTGTGTGAGTTGGGATTACCTGGTCCTGCAGTTACAGGCAGTTGTGTTATTCTGTGGGTGCTGGGACCCAGAAGTGCGTCCTCTGCAAGAACAGGAAGCACTTTTAACCACCAAGGCATCTATCCAGCCCCAGTGGTCATTTCTTCATTGTTTACTAAACAGCTTCTGGTGTTGGGGGCACCTGTTGAGGGCAGTAGGGCTGTAGCAGTGAAGAAGGCAAATGAAAGTCACTCAACAATCGTTAGTGAACTGAAGAGTTGACTCTACCCGTGGAGAACAGGCTATATGTAGATGAGCAGGTGGAGGATTGTGGAAGCGTACTGCAAACTTCTTTAGTGGGGCAGTGGGTTTAGACAGTAATATAGTCGGGAAGCCATCTCGACCTGAGGAACTCAGTCGGGGCTTTATTGTTGGACTGACTAGAAGATGTGGGAGAAGCTGAGTGTGGTAGCCCATGCCAGTAGTCTCAGCACTTGAGAGATTCAGGAGGAAAGATTGTGAGTCTGAGGCCACCCTGTCTCAACCACTGTTCCCAAAAACAGAGGGGGAAAAGAAATGGAAAGGTTGTAATCCAGATTTGGACATGAATGGGTGTATGTGGTAATGTTTACTAATAGGAAAGTGAAGGGAAAAGGTTGTACCACATGAGTTCAGGAGAAAAGTGAGGGACACGTATGTGGCAGGAGGTCTTTTGTTTTGTTTTGGTTTGGTTTTTCGAGACAGGGTTTCTCTGTGTAGCTTTGTGCCTGTCCTGGATCTCGCTCTGTAGACCAGGCTGGCCTCAAACTCACAGAGATCTACCTGGCTCTGCCTCCCGAATGCTGGAATTAAAGGCGTGTGCCACCACCGCCTAGCGGCAGGAGGTCTTTATTGAGCAGGTGAGAGGATCCAGTCCATTGAATGGAAATCTTGCCTCTGGCAAGAGAAAGTTGACTCTTGGAGAAATAGAAAGACAGTGAGCCCCATGTGCTAGTAAACACCTGTGATCCCAGAACTTGGGAGGTGGAGGCAAGAGGAACAGGAGTTCAAGTTCATCCTTGACTACAAAATGATTTGGAGACCATTCTAAGTTACATGTGACTCAGTGGGCCACCAAGGTGATTCAGTGGTTCAGTTGCTTGCTACCAAGCCTGATGAACTAATTCAATCCCCCATGACCCGCATGGTGAGAAGAGAATAAACCTCTCCCCAAAGTTGTCCTCTACCTACCACATGCCTTGGCACATGCTTGTCCACATACATGCATGTGTGTGCACATTGAATAATAAATGCTTAAAACTAGAGGCTGAGCCCAGCAGTGGTGGTGCATGCTGTTAATCCCAGCACTCAGGAGGCAGAGGCAGGTGGATCTCTGAGTTAAGTGAGCTCCAAGACAGCCAAGGCTACATAGAGAAACCCTGTCTTGAAAAGCCTAAATAATAAATAATTTTTAAAAATAAGGGCTGAAAAGTGAGAAAACAAAGCTTTTCTAAGAACCAAAAGGTCAGACCTCTTCAAATTCTCATGTTTAGAGAACATACTGAAGCTTGTCCATGAAGGAAATTCTTGGGTCACAAATACTTGAAACCAAAGAAGTGAAAGGCTGCCTCACAAAGGCCATGCTGAGTCATCAAGGACCAGTGTCGTGAGGGGCACGTCACACACGTGCATATTTCCCAGCCTTCAAATCGTAGGAAGAGAAGAGTTTGGACTCATCCAGGGCTTCCCCCTTCTGTGTCCTTATCAGCCTTAGTCTCCTACCAGGATGTTTTCCTTAGTGTTGGGTTTTGGTTCTACAATTTAAAGGACCTCTGTCTCGTCTGTGAGTGGGCCACCTACACTCTGGTGCCTCAGCAAGTTACTACAGCACACAATGGAGGCGGTCCCTAAGAGCAGGCTGGCGCCGGGAGGGAGGGACAGTCACTGGGGGATTCTCGTGGTCTGAAACTCACCTTTCATCTTGGTTCTGACCTACAAACCCTTCTAACGCTGAGATTGCTCTGGAAATTCACAGATACCGCCAATGCCTGTTGGCCTTACACTTGTTCCCGTTCTTGCTCCCATGTGCATGTGCACACACAGCCTGCCGCTTCGGCTTCAGGGACTTCGTTAATTAGCTGAGCGTCCTGCCCGAAGCCTCATTCTAAGGCCTGGTAGTGGTTAATCTTCGTTGTCAGCTTGGCTAGATTGAAAACCAACCTAGGAGAGCATGTCCCGAGAGGATGACCTGAGGAAGGGCCCCTGCCTTTGGGTGGGACCATCTCTTGGGGCCGCAGATTATCTGCTCTAGAGCCATAAGCAAGCAGCTTCCCGCTGCCGCCATGGTGGACTGCCTTCCGCACCGACATGGACTGTTCTCCTGAGCCATGCACCTGTAAGCCTCTTCTCCCTCGAGTTACTGCTTGTCAGCTGTTCGGTCAGAAGAAAAGAGCTACAGACGCCATCCCATTCTTGATCTCTACTAAGACCTGCTTTCCCTGAAGCCACACCCAGATGTATCTCCAATAGTGCTTCGTGTGTGTGTGTGTGTGTGTGTGTGTGTGTGTGTGTGTGTGTCTGTTTGTCTGTTTGTCTGTCTGTCTGTCCTTTCGTCCCAGGCTAGCCTCAAACTCCTGAGTCCTCTGCCTCAGTCTCCCAAGTGCTGGAATTACAGCCATGTGCTGCCGTGCTCTGCCTTCTTTTAAACTACTGGACGCTGCTGCTAAGAGGAGAGGAATGGGGAGAGGTGGGGGTTCGCTGTGAGGATTTACACATGGCTGTCTCTCTTTTGCCCTGATTCTTCTCCACCGCCCCCCTCCCACGCTTCCTTTTCTTACTCTCTCGCTTGCTTTCTCATTTTCTCTGTGTTGGTGTGGTGGGGGCCCTGAGCATCCTTCACCGTGCTTTGCCGTTGGCCTACATCCCCAGCCAGCAGTCACACTTTGACTGGACACCTCTGGCCTGAGGCCAGGTCCTAACTGGATGGGGTCAAGTTTGTAAGAAGAGCCTGGGGAGAGATGCTGCCTACCAGCAGGTGGGCGGTGCACAGTAAAGGGAGACCATACCACGGGATCCCTGTGAGCTCACAGCGTTCTTGGGAAAGGGTCATAAGAACTGACTTTAGACCTTCTGCTGATGGAGCACTCCAGCAGCCTGTCTGGTACTGCTGGGGATCGTCACCTCAGGTGACAGCAGGTGAGAGGACAGCACTTGACAGATGTTCAGCTTCCAGAGCTTCCTCCTTTCTGGCATGTGACTCTGGGAAAAGGAGTTAACCTTCCAAGCATCTTCTCTGTCTGTTAATTATCTTCTGCCCATAGGGCTGTTGGAGAATGAGGAATGAACATTAAGGGTCAGCACAGGACCACAAGCAGCAATGGTAGTATTACAGCCAGCTCCTAGTGCCCCCCGAAACACAAGACCTCAACCTTCAGAGAGGTGGCTGGTTCCAGGGAGAGGCCTGCTGACCAGTGCTTGCCCCTGGACTCAGCTGCAGATTTATTCCCCTGGGCTTGACTCTGAAGAACATTCTAGAATCAAGCCCCAAAGGTGAGTGGAATAGGTTCATGAAGTTATGAGCAAGGTTTGAACACAGCAAGGGCTTGACCTTCTTGAAAGTTTTGTCTCCATAACCATAATCTCTTTCCCTTCCTCCCTCCCTTCCCCTCCCCAGTGTAAACACCCTACTCTCAACCTTCCAAGACTCATATTTGGTGCTTTTAAACTTTTTTCTTTATTTAGACAGAAAAGAGCAACTCTTCAAAAGTAAAACTCAATAAATAAATAAGCAAAGCGTAGAGAACTGTCAGTATTGACTCCCCCTTCTCGCCCTTTACCATCCCACCCCCACCCATGTTCTTTTCCCTAAAACCTCTTCCTAAAGAAAATGATCAGGTAATAAACCCCTTTAGCCCTCCCCACACCCTTCCTCCCAAATACCCAATTACCCCCAAAGCAAAGGGAGAAATCAAGAGAGAGGGAAAAAAAAAATCCAAGGGCAACATTGTCTAAACTCCCAGAAAGAGGGATGGCAGCGTCTGGCTGGTTGGACTGGTAATGCCCTGGTGGTCATGGTATATACATGGAGGGGCCAGCAGAGACTGTAAACATTTTTAGGGATTCAGGGAAAGGTCTTTTCCTCGTGAAAAGAGGGTCTCTGTGACTGACTGGCAGAGAGGCAGCCCTCAGGGCTCCCCCACACCCTCCTTTGAGGGGGCCCTTGGGGGAGGCAGTGAGCTTTAGGGCTGGGAGCCTGGGATTTGGAGATACCCTACCTCTAGCTGAGGGTGGAGGGAAATATGAGAACCAGCTTCTGAGAAGCCCCTACTGGGGAAGAGGCTGGCGTGAGGACGCTTGGGAGAGAGGACGCCCGCCCGCCTGGCTGCCCTCATGGGCCTGCACAGCCACTCCAGGCCCACTGAGGGGAGCAAGCGTGAGCGGTGGGTGCAGAGGCCCGACTCGGAGCCTTAGCAGAAGGCAGATACCCCTGAGCCTTCGAGCCTATTCCCTGCTTCCTCACAAAGGCCAAAAGGGCACTGGGGAGGAAATAGGCTCTTGGAGCCAGGGAAGCAAAGCCATGGCCCTTCAGAGAGGCAAGGTGGTGGAGTGAGCCAGGTCCTGGGCCCTTAGGGCCATGAAGCAGCTTTTGCCCCAGATTCCAATCAAGGCCCAGGGCAGATGTGCAGAGAAGGCCGGGGGGCCAGTCATGGGAAGAGAGTATCAAGTGCCCCTTCCTCTGGTATCTCGAGACCTGTGAAGGAAGGAAATATGGGTGAAGCACAGGGAAGATGGCGAAGACCGGTCACGGGTTCCGGGAGGTGGGGGCAGGGAGTGATGGCACCTATGTTGGGGCTACTTGAGAAAGGCAGGCCATCAGAAGGGCCTTGTCCCAATAGAACCATCCGCTCGCCTCCCCCATCCCTCCAGCTATGAGGGCATAGAGCAGGGATAGAGAGAAACGGGGAAGGAAGGGCGAGACAGTCTAGAAACTGAAGCCATTAGGAAGAAACACATCAAAGATGGACTGGAAGATAGAGAGAGCTAGATGGGGAGAGAGGCAAAGAAAAGAGACAGACAGGCGGGCAGAGAACTAGGAGGAAGGAGACGGGTGCATGGACAAGACAGACGCCTGGAGAGGGGAGCACCGCAGGAGCTGGGGTGACCCGGAGGGGCTCAGGGATGGAGTCCCCCGGGGTGACACCCCACTCCCAGCCCTTGGGTGGTGTTTTCATTCCTTTTTGGAAAGGGACAAAGGAAGCAAGAGAAAAGTGCACAGACCACAGACCACAGTCACCAATCACTGTTGACCAAGCACATCCCGCGAGCCGCCCCCGGCCCTGAGCCTGGGCTGGGGGGGCGCTTCCCTCCACAGCCCCTCCCCAGATAACAAACAATTGGCTCCAAAGACAACACGCTCGTTCCATGCAACTTACAGGGGCCCGGAGCAGGGGTCCGGGATGGGGGCTTCAGCCGACAATGGACACGGACCCTGGGCTGGGGGCCCCCAGGGTGGGGGGGGTTAAGCAGCCAGGATTGGGGGGAAAGGGGAGAAACAGAAATGTGGGTATTGTTCTTGGGTTGTGATTTTTCAAGGTTTGGTCCAAAGGAGATTAAACAAACCAAAAGTAGCCAGGGTTCACAGGTCTGTGCCCCAAGTCTGGATGGCAGCCTCACGGGGCTGGAGGGGCCCAGTGTACTTCCCAGGTAGGTGCTAGTCCACTTCCTCCACTAAGCCAAGCCACGCCCACTCCCAGCTGTATCGCGTTCTGCCCCAGAGTCCACTGCCCTGGAGTTGAGGGCAACAGGCAACAGGACCTGAGTGTCTCCACTTATCAGGAGACAAGGTTTCAAAACCAAGAGGCTCTATAACCCTCGAGTTCTCTAAAGCAGCCTCCTGGCCCCCAAAACCTACTCCACTAATTTCATCCAACCCAAAGGAAAACCAGAAAGAGAAAGACAGACACATGGACACTGACCAGACAAACAAGACCAGATACTGTGGAAAACTCTAGGAGCAGACACAGGTGTAGATTTGGCTCTCTCTGGAATGGTGTGTGTGTGTGTGTGTGTGTGTGTGTGTGTGTGTGTGTGTGTGTGTGTGTGTGTGTGTGTGTTTGTGCGCGCGCGTGTGTGCATGTGCGTGCCGGTGGAGACACAACTGACTGAACAGTAGCTGGGGGAGTGGCCCAGACCTGAGTTCCTTATGCCCAGCATCAGGGTGGGTTGGTAGTGGAAGAATGGTCACAGTGTGTGGAGTCTGGAGATGAGGTCACAGGACAGAGCAGCACCCACCTGAAGCCCTTAGTAGGGCCTGTTTGCATCCTTAGGCCGCTTTAGCTGGACTTTGAGGCGCTTCATGCCAATCTGGAAACCATTCATTGCCTGGATGGCAGCCTGGGCACTGGCCGGATTGTCGAAACTCACAAAGCCTGAGGTGAGAAGGGCATAAGGCCCGGCCCGGCCCCACATCGCTGTCCTGCCATGGGGCCAGGGCTGCTTGTTTGCTTTCCCTGTGCCACCCTGCCTCATCCAAGCATCTCTAATCCCTAGACACCTGCCTGGCACACAGTCGGCATTCCGAGAGAATTTGTTGATGATAGATTTCATGAGTGAATCCAGTCCAGCCATTCACAAACTAGTGTGTGCTTTCCATGTTCTTTGAAAGGTGGCTCTTGGCCTAAGAGTTCTCTGAAACCTGCCTTTTGAAAACCCTGTAAGTGACTTTTGAAGCAAGGGTCTGAAGCAGGCTTCCAACTGAAACCTACATCCTTTTGAAATCTAGTATCGCCAGACTACATGAAATGGAGTTGGCTCGTGTGTGTGTGTGTGTGTGTGTGTGTGTGTGTGTGTGTGTGTGTGTGTGTGTGATATGATATGATAGAACATAGGATCTCATGCCACTACAGTGCTCAAATTTCTGAGCTACATCTCTAGCCCCAAGGTTGGTTCTTGAGGAGGAAGATGAAGCTATGACCTTTTTACAAGAGATGGGCTTGGGTGGCAACTATATGGGATGGTGGGTGTGTCAGAAATGGTTCTTTTTTGGCCTTGTGTATTCAGGCTTTCAAAGGCTAAGTTCATTGAGACCCTAAATGCCTCCAAATGTGACAAACTTCATTCTAAGTTAGAGTTCAGTCAAAAAATGTCCATACTCTGTCTTTTGGATCATCATGTTCTTACCAAAACATTTGCTCTGATTGGTGGCCCGGTCAACAAAGACTTTGGCTGAGATGACATGACCAAAAGGGACAAACATCTGGAGGATCTCTGAGTCCGTGAACTCCTGGGGCAGGTGGTAGATGAAGATGTTGCAGCCATCAGGGCCTGGGTGGCAGCAGAGATAGAAGGGATAGCTCAGAGACTGGGAAATGCAGACTGGAACGGCAGAGGTGTGGGGGACGCAGCTGCAGAGAGGCCGCTGATCCTGGCCCCCAGCAGTGTGGACAGGCCTCCCCACTCCTTCATCCTCACACATAGGGCCAGAGCTGAGTTTGGCACAGAGCCATCGGGATTACCCAGGCCCACAACATGGGCGTTCTTATCCCTGCGGGTTCACAGCTATCAGGACCCTGCCCCAGGCTGGCACCTTCCCGCTGCTGCTGCTGCTGCTGCTGCTGCTGCTGCTGCTGCTGCTGCTGTTGCTGAGGTGGTGGTGGGGGCTGCTGGGCGACCAGGGCTGGAGGCTGCGGGAACGCGGGTGCAACTAGGCTGTAGGCTGCAGGATAGGCTGCTGGGGTGGTGAAAACAGAAAAGGCAAATGGGGTTCCCCTGACCCCTCACAGCCAGCCTTGTCTCCCTCCCCAGCCCTATCCAATGGAGTCCACAGGGCTGAGAGTGTCAGGGAAGGGGCTTCCTCAGACCAAGTCCTGGGGGTGCTGCCCTCAGGCGTCCGTTCTCACAGGCACAGCTTGTCAGGAAGGCCTGAGGGTGTCGCTGGCGGAGAGTGTAGATGCTTAGACTATAGTTTCTAGATCTCTTTTCCTCACGCCATGCCTCCCACCTGGCCAGGGCCTCACCTGTGTAGTGCTGCATTCCTGCATAGGCCTGCTGGAGGGGATCCACAGGGGCAGCGGGGCTCTGGGCTGTGGAGAGCATCACAAGCCATGAGTGGGTCTGGGACACAATGGGAACCCCACCAGCACCTCTTTCAGCAGACAGAGCCTCATGGGGGGCGGGGGGAGGGGACGGGGATGAAGGGTGGGATGAGAAGGGGAAATGCATATGGCAGTAGGAAAAGGGGAAGAGCCCAGTGTGTGTCAGGCAGGTCTGTGACTGACTTGCCATTATGGCCAAGTTGCTCCACCTCTCTAAGCCTCAGCTGCCCTAGCCAAGAACCCCCCCAAAAAAGCCAGGTGGAGTAGCGCACGCCTTTAATCCCAGTACTCAGGAGGCAGAGGCAGGCAGATCTTTGTGAGTTCAAGGCCAGCCTAGTCTACATAGTTCTGGGACAGCCTGGGCCACACAGAGACACCCTGTCTCAAAACCACTAAAAGAAAAGAAAGGAACCCAAGGAGCATTTCTGCCCAGGAAGAGCGCAAGAAAAAGCACCTTAAGCCCTGAGGTTGGAGAGGGAAGGTGTGTCATGGCTGCCAGCAATGGGAGTGGTGGCCTGGATGGCTGATGGAGCAAGGTGGGGCAGGCAGAGACCCCCACCTGGGTAAGGGTGAACCCCGTTGGGATACAGAGCATCAGGGGCAGGCTGCCCCGTGGGCTGGGTGGGCACCGGGCTGTAGCCGTTGACGCCCAAGGCAGCAGGGATGGCAGAGACGGGCGTGGCAGCAATGGCAGGAGGGGTGCTGGTTCCTAGGGGGAGAAAATGACAGCGACAGAGCAGAGGGGCAGGCGGCAGACCTGGGGACAGAGCGGAGCGAGCAGGCCATTCTCGGACCCTGAGCACCTCTTAGACCCCGTGGCCCCCCTACTCCCTGCCACGGTGCTGTTCTTACCTGCCCAGCTGTGTGTCCCTAGCCCCACCTGCCTAACATAGGCCTTACCTGAGGATGGAGTGACAGGGGTGGCGATGAGGCCATTGGCATTGATGGCAGCCATGTGCTGCATCTGCACGGCAGCCATGGTGGCCATCGGGCTGAGGTAGGCACTGTGAGCTGCTACCAGGGCTGCCTGCTGCTGCATCAGCTGTGGGATGGGGAGAGGAGAGTAGGGCCAGGCCCCCAGTACTGGTGTTCATCTCCCTCCCAAGCCCTGCTTTGGTGTTTTGGAGGGTGGGCCATGAAGGACATGGAGATGAGCAGGAGCTAGCTGGGGATGGGGGGGGGGGCAGGCATGCTTACGGCCTGAGTGTAGGCGCTGTAGGCTCCAAACTGGAGGGCGATAGGGCTGAACATGCCCAGCTGGGTCGCCACCTGTTGCATTCGGCGGAGACCTCGCTCCTTCTCTGTGTCAGCAAACTTTACCACCAGGCTGGATGAGGCACCCTGGGCATGGGCCCACATGTCACAGGAAGAGTCGACCTCTGCTCCCTGGGGGCCTCAGCGTCTGGTCTCAGGCCTCTTTGGGAGCACAGCCATCACAGTGCCCAATCCAAATGGGGAGATCCTAATCCCACCATCTCCCTGCACTGGGATGTGTAAAAGGCTGGATAGAATTGAGGAATGTGAAATGCTCAAAACTGGACAGGCCTGTGGGGATCGAAAGGACAGCTCTGAGAGGCGTCTGTGCTGGCAACCCACGGTGGATTAGCTGTGGGGAATGTTCATCGGAACATCCACAAGGATAGTCATAGAGTCCTAGACTCTCAGAGCCGAAGGGGCCCAGGGTTCAGTTCTCTATCTGATGTTGAGTCCTCTTCTTGTTTGATGCCTGCCCTGCCTCTGCTAGAGACCCTTGAGTTGTGGGAAGGCCCACATCTTTTGGAAGCAGCTAGTCAGGTCCAGCTAAGAACTCCAGCTCACATTCAACTGACCCAACACTAACATTCAGGGGCAGCAGTTATCAACACGTGCTGGGCAGGTGGGGCCTTTAAGCAAGGGTCCTGACATCCCAGGAAATGAGGTGGGGCATTTGGGAGGGTAGAAAAGAGATACTTGATTCAGTGGCTCTTTTGCAAAAACTTAAAAAAAAAAAAAAAAAAAAAGAATAGACGTCCTATCCTGCATGAATCTTGATCGATGCTAGGGCCTGGCGGGTGTACCATTGGGAAGATAAGGAAGGAGGGGAGTGGAGCTCACCGGCAGGGTCCGGCTGCTATGGAGGGTGTTGATGGCTGCCTGGGCCTCGGCGTGAGTCTGGAACTTCACAAAGGCACAGCCTAGAGTGAATGGTTGGGGTAGAGGAGAAGAGGGGTGAGTGCCTACCGTGAGGGCACCCTCTGGGGTTCTATGGGCAAGGGGAGAAGTGAAAGGGACTACCTTTGCTGGTACCATCTGGCCCCCGGAGCACAGTGCACTCGTCTATGGTTCCAAATGGTTCAAACATCTTCCGGACATCCTCATCTGTCTGCTGCTTTCCTAGCATCCCCACAAAGAGCTTCCGGTCTTCTGGGGGGATGGGGCATAGGAGGGGGTGATGTCCAGGGCCTGCTGACCACTCTCCCAGCCCTTCCACCTGGACCTGTTGCTCCTGACACTCTTCCCCATCCTGGGGAACAACAGCTCTAGGTGTGAAGCAGTGATAGCCGGGAATTGAGGTTCAGTAACGTGCAGTACTCTCATCTCAGTTCAAGGAGGACTTGAACTCTGTTTTTGTCATCTCTACGAATGGACCAGATCTTGTCTCCTACCGCCACACTCACCTCTTCCTTAACCCCAACTTTAGGTAATTCTTCAGTACCATCAGACTTCCTTCCTTCGTCCCTTTCAAGCCCTGAGCCTGGGGGTGGGAGGAAAGGGGCTAAATCCAAAGTTGTAGAACCTACCTCCTCGACTCTCGCTGTCGGCTGGCTTGACCTGGATCGGCCTGTTCATCTGGAGGAGAGAAAAGAAGGAAGCTGCCAGGACCTCCATGGAACATCCGAGAGCCCTCCCCAAATGAGATGGCCAGAGATTGAAGGGAGCAGGGTTGCCCCAGCCCTCTAAGTTGATGAGAAGGAAAGGGTAGGACCAGTCTTGTCTAGAATTCAGAGCTGAAAGGATTAAAGGTATGGGGGAGAGGGGATGTGTTGGAAGATGTTCATGGGGTGCAGCTCTGGGCTCAGGTTGACCTGCCACCCATAGGTGTTGCTCTCTTAGGTGAGAAATGCCTGCCCATAGGACACAGGTCTTAAGTCAGAGCTCAACCAAGGGACTGATCAACCAGAGCCGCCTCCATTCTGTAAAGTAGGAGCAAGCAGAGGCTATCCCATGGAGAACCCCCAGGGAAGGATGAGGGAGACCCCACAGGGGCCCAGAATTCCTTCTGACCACTGGAGGTGTGTCAGCCTCTCTTTCTGCTCCCCTACACCCCTTGACCCCAGGGGGAAGGCACTCGGGCAGCACAAAGGGAGCAGATGCCCAGTCTCCGTGGCAACGGGAGAATGCGCACCATGGCAACCGCCCACTCAGCCTGATTTATCCGTCCCCGTCGCCCTGGCGACCGTGGTGATGTCATCACTTCTGCTTCTCCACACACACCCAGAGAAGGACTGGGGGGGTGGGAATAGGGTATGCTGGGGGTGGAGGATTGGGTGGGGACTGGGAGGTGGGGGAGGGGCCCTGGAAAGCTTCCTGGTCCTGGAGGGAAGTAAGTGGAGTGAGCCCTGCAGGGGCCATACTGTTTGTTCTCCTGCCTTCCTCCTCCAGGACCAGTCCTTGGTGTCTGAAGAGCTGAGAAAGCGCTGAAGGAGCCGAGGCTATCCATGCTCCTTTGCAATCCTCCCTGGCTCAAAAGTTCTCCAGAGCTCCACCCTCTCCCTGACACCCAGAGTATCACCCTTTGTTCAGTCTTCAGTGTGGGTAGAAAAATACCCAGTTCTATTCTCCGTGTCTTGTTTGGTGAGTGAACTTGGGAAAGACTCCCACAGGTTGATTTCCTTAACCAAGATGGCCGGCGGGCACCGTAGTGACCGGAAAGCGGAAGAAGCATTCAGGATTCAGCTCTGAACTTCTCTTGCTATCCAGGACTTTGACTGCTAGGGTCACACCCAGTCCCCTCACTCATGTGATGGTGGGACCATCTTAGCTCCAGAGACCGAAAGCCTAAGATGAGGCATTCATTTTCATGCCAAGAGTGAGGCTAAGGGTATGTAATGAAAGTCATTTAACTGAGGGGAGACTTGGGGCCAAGGAGCCCTGCCTCTCACTAGCTGTGTGCCGTGGCTAAGTTGTTTCTTCTTCTTCAACTTCCTCCTCTGTAAGGGGACGGACCAGGAATCCTGTGTTCAGGTGCTCCTCACCTCTGGTACTTGAGCATTTGGAGACCTTGAGTGACTTAACATGGAGAATACAAAAATACCACTCCTGGCTGGACTCTGCCAGCCAGGTGTTCACAGCCTCAGATCAAACCTAAGACCCATCTCCAATGATATTCCTGCACCCCCCTCCTTCCCTCCCCCAAAGCTCTGGGTCTGTGAGCAGCTGGTGGGGGGTGGGAGGGTCCCAGTCACATAAATCCTCCGGCCAATCTGCCCCCAGATTTACCTTCTACCAATCTGGGATTATCCCATCTGAGACTCAATCTCCTAAGGGTGTGTGTGTGTGTGTGTGTGTGTGTAGGGGAGGTCTGTGGGCTAGAGAGTTATGGTCATTTACCTCCTCTTCTGTACTGTAGCCAAAACAGGAAATTCTCTCCCAGGTACCACAGCAGCTAGCCACATCCACCCCTCAAAATGGGGAGACAGAACCAGGGTCAGCATGGGGCATTCTTATGATTGACACTATGCCCTTCCCAACAAGTCTCTGGGAAAGTTGCTGTTCTCTCAGAGACTGAGAACCTGGGAGAGAAATGATGTCGTGCTGGCCCTGCACAGGCTTCGAGCACAAAATAGCATATCAATAAATACCCACAGCTGATGTGCACTCTCACAGAGACACAGCACAGACCACAGTGTGGACAGAACCGCCCACAATACCCTCACTCGGGACTCCTCAGTACTCCCAATGCCCGTTTCCAGCCCCCCCTCCTGGCGTGGCACTTCCTGTGGGAAACTCAGCTTTGTTAGCTTGCCTGGGCACACCTGCCCCTTCCCCTGAGTCCAGCTGGGCTGTGTTTACCTGGCAACCTGGCAGGTGCCTCTTCCCTAGCTACCACCCACCAGGTGATAAGCCCTCCCAAGAGCCTCCCAAAGAAGAAGAGGCTATTTACACTCCAGCCAGGGAGCTCTGCTCTGCTTTCCCTAACAGGACCACTGTTCAGGTCCACCCCTCTCATTAACAGTCAAGATCCCACATCCAAAAAGATCTTACTCATCCTCAAAATCTAATTCCCTTGAGGGTGCAGGTCAGGAGCCTTGCCACTCCTGGCGTCACAGTTCCTGGTGCCGCAGAACCCACCCTCCCTGCCTCAAGCTGATGGGAATGCCCACATCTCCAGAGTGGGAGTTTCATTCAGAACAGATGGGGAAGAATAAGCCAGGCAGAGGCATCCCTCACAACCGACTTCCAAGAGGCCACACCCTGCTAAGCATGGATCCAGGGCCTGGGACAGAGCCTCCCTGGGAGAGAAGAGGACATGGGGCTCAACAGCCACAGGCCAGCCTCAAACATCATCTCACTATGGTAGCACCTTCTAGATTCTGGGTGATAAAAAGGAGAAGCAAGAAGCAGGCTAAGATGCACTTGTTAAAATACACCATGCAGGAGAGCCTGGAGACAAGCAAAAACTTACAGAACAGTGCATTGGCTGACACCCTGTACACACACACAGACTGACACACACAGACTCACACACAGACTCACATATACACATACACACAAACAGACTCACACACACGAGTGACACACAGATACACACACAGACTCACACACATGCACACACAGACACACACACAGACTCACACATACATACACACACACACATGCACACACAGACACACACACAGACTCACACATACATACATACAGACACACACACATGCACACACAGACACACACAGACTCATACACATGCACACACACACACAGACTCACACACACATGCACACAGAAACACACACACATGCACACACACACCACACACACACCACACACACACACACACACACACACACACACACACAAACCTGAAGGGGCAAATGACAGGATAAAACACTTGGTAGGGTACAAAGACAAGAGCTGGGTTACAGGTATCTGCTCCCTTCACTGCCCTGTCAGCTTTCAGAACCCCTTAGCATGGGATCCTTCCTGGAAGAATGGAACCCCTCACTTCCTATTAGAAACTATCGGTCCCTCTGGATTCTGTCAACTGTGCCAAATGCCACCGTGGGAACTTCATGTCACCTGGGCAGTCTGGCACAAAGTGAGAGAAGCATTATTAGCAGGGGCCTTCCCCCACTCTCACGCCCAGCCCACGAGTTTTCAGGAAAGGCAGGCAGTGTCATCCAAGTCAGAGTTTTGCCTGAGCGTCACAGGCAACTGGAGGGGACAGATGCAGGGGAGTTACCCCCTAACTGGTACTCTGCCTTTGGGGCGCCCGCCCACCCGCCATGGTCATTCTTCCATGTCCCTTTTCTGGCCTTTCTTGGTCTCCTCCCACTGACCCTCCAGTTCTGCAGGAGCTCTGAAATGAGGAACAGGAAACCCACAGCAGTGAAGGTGAAAATCTGGTTTGTGAAGCCCCCTCCAGAGAGGAAACGGAGGGAATGTTGGGATGCGGCAGCTTGCATGTACTCCTGGCCTGTAAGGTGCTCACATGCATGTGAGCATGAGCACACGCTCACCCTAGACCCCTAGGCCAGCTCACTCGCATGCACTGGTCCTACACGCTGGGCAATGGTGGTTCCTGTTGGTTGGGATAAGATGGTGGAGGGGGGCTAGAGGGGACCTCCAGAGAGCTGGAGGTTGGGGGCGGGATAAGCAGTTCTATTTTCTATATCCCCACCCCATCTGTTTTGTCTGTTTCCTCTCAGGAGGATGGATGGTCGGTACCATCCTCTGTCCCACGTGGTGAAGGAGTCGAGGCTGGGACAGATGTCTCCAGCCCCCAGACAGTGCTGAGCAAAGGTTTGCTGTGGGCAGTGAGGCTTCAGGGAGGGCTCCCTGGGACTCACAGACTGAGAGAAAACAGAAAGCAGATAGCCGGCCAAAGGGGCCAGGGGGCTTCTAGATGCCTGCTCTCAGTTACCGGCCCAGGTAGGAGGCCGGCTCAAGAAACAAAGAAATGTAACCTTGCAGGAGGGAAGCCACCTGAGGGCCACCTCTGCTTCCCTGACCTCCCTGGGCACACTCGGGGGTGGGGTCAAGCCTGAGCGTTCACCATCATGTCAGCTCTGCCTGCTGCCCCAAACTCATATCCACCCCAGACCCTGCTCCACTTTGGTGCCCTGTGGCTCTGTTTTGGAGTGCTTCCTGGGAGATAGGCAGGGAGCCTGTGTGATCTCAGAAATCAGCCCAGAACAGTCCAGCAGGCCCAGCTGCCTGTTCTCAGGGCAGCACACCCTCCCCCATCTCACAGGCAATGGCCTGCCTTATCCAGCACCACAAGAGTGCCTGGTGCCTCTTGCTCCCTCTGACACAGGTGTTCAGTCTACTGTGTGTGCCCCTCATACAGCTAAATTCTCCCTCTTACATGGCCTGGGGACGGACTGGGGACAAGGGGGAGGAGCTGCATGTGCTCCTCAGAAAAGGTCACATTTACCCCACTAATGGTTCTTTTTTCACACATCTACAGAAGGAAAGGGATGCTAGAAGGACTTCCTGGTGATGACAAGAGGTGGAAAATAAACCCAGTGTCCTGGGAGGGCCGTGGGTCCCCTGCAACATCCTAAGGCTGCTCTCAGCCCCTGGACCCTGCAAAGCGCAGGACTCACCCCTGGGAGAGTCTTCTGTTCGTGCAGGGCGCTCTGGGCCTTCAGGGCTGAATCGCGGGCACAGTATGTCAGGAAGGCACATCCTGAGGAGACAGGCGGAGAGCCAGGGTTGGGGCGAGTCCCCACTTTCCCCTTCCTAAGGGGCTTCCCCAGGAGACTGAGGATGGGGGAGGCATTTCCCCTTCTTGCCATCTCTGCCTGCTGGGTTGGGGAGGCATCCCAGAGGGATAAAAATTATACCTTTTCTCTGGGGCGGAGACCTGGAGGGAAGGGAGGAAAGCATTCGATGTGTTGAGAGATGGGACTGGGACAGAAAGAACTGTGATTTCCAAGCAGGTAGGGCAATGTGGTTCTCTCTCTCTCTCTCTCTCTCCCTCTCTCCCTCTCTCCCTCTCTCCCCTCTCTCCCTCTCTCCCTCTCTCCCTCTCTCCCTCTCTCCCTCTCTCCCTCTCTCTCTCTCTCTCTCTCTCTCTCTCTCTCTCTCTCTCTCTCTCTCTCTCTCTCTCTCTCTCTCTCTCCACCCTCTTCCCTTCCATTTTCCCCACTTCTCATTTCCCCCAGACTCCACCGGAGGCAGATGTGGGGAGTGCACAGAGAAGGGAGAGGAAAAGCAGCAGCCGGAAGTGCTTTTTCCAGAGCCCCGACATCCAGGGAGGTGGTGTGGCCCTGGGTTCCCGGCGTCTGGAGCTCTCCAAGTGCTGATCCCCGGCCAGCCCTGCTTCGCAGCACAGCTCTTGGCGAGAACTCAGGAGCATTTTCCCAACAACTTTCTAAGTCCCACAAACATTGTCCAGCCTCTCTGTTCCACGTCCCTCTCCTCTGCTCCTCGCTTTAGTCCCGGGCTGCCCTGGTTTGTCTGTATCCCACTCTTTCTAGGTTGAACACCTGGCCAGCCATCCCAGCATTATCCGGGGCTGCTCACATTGTCGATCTTGATCCTCTCTCCTAAAACTTGTCTTTCTGACCCTTTGGGAGCTCGTCCCATGCCATCAACACCCTCCTCCATCTCTAGTGCAGAGTTGCCTTAGCTTTGCGCCCGGCAGTCTCTGTCACTCAACTGAGTTCTCATTCAGCTCCTCCATCCAGTCCCCAGCCCCTGAACGCTGCTTCCAAATCGTTCCTTTCTGGTCACTCCATCCCTCCAGCTTCCTCCATCCTTCCTGCCTCCTCTCCAGCCTGGCCTGCCCCCTCACCCTTGTGCAGCCCGGTGTACTTGTCCTTGATGACAGTCAGCTCGAAGATCCGACCGAACTGCTCGAAGATGGGCTTCAGGTCCTTTTCCTCCAGATGCCTCGGGATCTGCCCCACAAACAGCTTGATGGCATCCGGCTCCTTCATTGGGGCGGCCCAGGAGGAGGGGCCAGGGGGGAGCAGGGAGAGGCCCAAAGACAAGGGAAGCTGCCCAACCAGGAGGCAGGTGGTGGGGCCCAGGGGCCCAGCAGGGCCGGCTTTCCCTTTGGCCCCCAACCACAGTGCTGATCAGAGGAGAGCTCTTCACACAAAGGAGGCCTGGGGAGTTGAGGGCTAGGGGTCAGGGGTCTAGGCAGATACTGTCAGGCCACCAGGGGGCATAGCCCAAACAAACAGTCTCCCTCCCAGAGATCTGGCAAATATCCCAGGATGGGGGTCAGGGCAGCTAAGCCCTGGGGCGTTTGGGTGGTAGCAGGAGCGCTGGAGCTCAGAGGGCGGGAGCAAAGGCACAAATGCCAAAGGAGATGGGCAGAGAGTCAGAGGAGGCGATGGGAAG